TACAGAGCAACAAGAGTGTGTGGCATGCCAGTTAGGGTTTGACAAGAAAAAAATTCTGAGAGGCTGTAAATTAAAATCACAGCGCCTGGGGAGTGAAAGAGACAACAGGCTGTTAATAGCTGTGGACCAGCTCTGACTAAAGACTGCACCCATTCCTGTACATCTGTTGGAATTAGGATTGATTTCCAGGTGGCTATTGCTGCAATGATCCAAAAGAGAGAATAGCCAGATGCCACAGGCTCCCCAGGAGCGTCTGCTTATTTGCACGTGAACTACCCGATCTGCTGCCCACAGCTAATCCACAGGAGCCACAGGACACTTCCTGGCAGGCTCTGCTGCCTATCCCGGAACTAGCCCCTTTTCACCTTCTCCCATCCCCTTTGTCTACGGCTAATGTAAAGCCTTTCTGAACTGCTTACATCTTTCTCTGCCCACCCCACCCCCCTATGTGTAAAAAATGCAGAACTCTGGGGGACGACGGACCTGTTGTCTTTCCTACATAGCCATGCTGCCAGGTGGATTAGATTCCATACCCCAAAACTGGTCTTTTTGTGCTAACAATGGCCTAATAAACCCTTTCTTTTAAAAAGACTAAGCCAGGGAAGTTAAAATTTTTTGTTTAACAGGTTGTTGGGTGCTTGATTGGCCTGCAAATTTTGGGGGGAAAAGGGCAGGCATCCAGTTGAATTAAACTCTTGGAGATATGTTTGCAAATGTTAATATCCATTCATTGTACATGGGGTTTATGGGAGGGGGTAGGGAGGAAAAGCTGGAGAATCACAGGGCTTGCCAAACTATCCTGTAATTCCTCAACCCGTCCCCCAGATAATGTCTCTGCTTTTGTTCATGTGATTCCTTCTAGTTGGAATGCTTTTCTCGCCTTCTTGGTCTGTAAATCTGATGGTAATATCAAACTGCCTTTTAAAAATCCTCACACTTTCCCCCGCCCCCCACATGCATGTGATTTGCCCCTCGTTTAAAGCACCCTGGTATTGCATTCTCTCAATAGCAGGCATTTGCCTCTCTGGTTATTTTGCTAAACTATAAGGTCCCCAAGGGGAGGAATAGTTGTCAGTTTGCACTTAATATCTGCTCAAACGTTTCAACTGCTCGTGTCACAAAGCTAGTTAGAGACACCTGCCTGCCACTTCCCAGGAATTCTAAATCCCTCACATTTTTCCTCACTAGGGTCTTCTGTGCCCTGGAAAAATCATACATCTGACACACCATAGACCTTCAGTGTTCAAACCAAGCAGTTAAAATGGCTTATGAGAATTGAATCAAACAGTAGAGCACTCAGCATTATGTACATGGTTGTTTTTTTTAAAAAAACAAAAAAACAAAAAACATTGCTACCTTAGCAACCAAATATAGATAACCTTAAATCCTGGCTAATGAAGTGGAAAACATTCAAGTTAAACTTTGTAAATCTCAAACCAGCATTGAGTCAGCTTAGGAAAGCTCTGTCACAGTAACGGAGATGAGTGTGCAGCTTGGAGTGGAAACCTCGTTTGTTCATTCTGCAATGCGTTACTTGTAGTGACTGGTCCCCAAACAGCACCATTTAGCTTGTTTTTGAAATGGTGCTGAAA